ACACACACACACACACACACACACACACACACACACACACACACACACACAGAATACATAGCTTGACTGAGACGGGATGATAAAGACAGAATTGGAAGACTGAGTGAAACAATAATAAGGGTGGAACGCCATGTCCATTGTCCATTGAACACAGTCAACATGTGAATGGTTGGCATACCATTGACATGCGCTTCGTCCAAACGCAAAAAAAAAAAAAAAAAAAAAAAAAAAAAAAAAAAAAAAAAAAAAAAAACCAGAAACAAGGATTCATTCCATCGATGGGTTTGGTTTGGCAAGTGATACCCTATTCTGTGGTACCTACCTGGCCATTGGCTCCAGCATTCATGTAGACAGCTCCGCCAACTGTTCCAGGGATCCCACAGGCAAACTCCAGCCCAGAGTAGCCCTCTTTGGAGGTCAATATGCCCAGCTGATTGAAGGGATACCCTGCTCCGACGCGGTACACACCATTCCCTAATCGCCTGAGGGAAGTGATCCGATTGAGAACAATGCACCCATCATACCCTCTGTCATCAAACAGACAGTTGGAACCCTTCCCAACCACAAACATGCGAATACCGTGCTTGGCACAATACCTGATCAGACAACAAAAAACGGCCAACACCCAAGCGAAATGAGTTATAACGATCAAGAATACTCGATGCGTTTTTCAGACTTCAGACTTCATCTGAATGGCAGGAGTAGCGAATCAGCTTAGCGCTTCTGCAGGAATATTCAATTTCTGACATGTTTTTTCAAGGAATTTAGGGCGTGGATGAGAACAGTCAATCCTCCATTTGTGGCAATCAATGCCAAGGGGATTCCCTGGCCGAAGAAAGGGAAAGCGTCCGGGATACTTTGTTTCCTTTGACTTACTGATGGAAAAGAAACCAGAACCGTGCTTCCCATAATGGGAAAAGAGCCTCAGCCATAAGGCCGCAGTTCTTTCTCAACAAAAACACAAGAGGGTTCTGCCTACTACCATTAAATGCCGACAACGATAACCAGCAAGCAGAACACCAGCCCTGGGCTCTAAACCTCGATACAATTTGAGATGTTGATAGATACTCTCCCAGCACATTCCCTGCAGTTCAATTTTAGGTCATCCTGTGCTTCATGGGATTTTGGTTTGGGGTGGGGCACGGCGGGACGGGGCG